GAGGAGGAAGGTGTCACGTGGGGTGTGAGGTATGTAGGAGTCAGGGAGCACTTTGTCCCCGAGCCCCGGGGATCGTGGCCAGGAGGGCTGAGCACTCCTCCCGGCTGAGCCAGAGCCGTGGTGTTGGAATTATCCAGGGCCGTGGTGCCAGACCTCTCCTGCCTCTTTGCTGTAGGCTCTGGCCCTGCGGATGTTTTACAAGGCGGGGGGACAGACCTCCTCTCCAAGGCCGTTAGGGAAGCAGCTTAATTAAACTCTGCACTGTCCCTGGGAGGTCGGTAAGAGATGTGCCAGCATCACAGCGATCTCCCAGAGCCTGCACTGGACCAGGAGCTTTGCACAGTGCCCGGGGACAGGGAGGGCTGCCTTGCATCTCCTCGTTCGAGTGTGCACTTACCCCTGGTGCTCGTGGGGTGACATGGTGCCCAACGCCCCAGGACAGACACCCAATGTCCCCCACCTCAGCTGGCCTCAGGACGGAGGGCTCCCGCCTGGGATGCTCCGATGCTCCCACCAGCCCTCGGCATGGCTCCAGCGAGGCCAGGCAGTGAGGAGAGAACCTGTACAAATATTATTGTTGTTACTATTACCCATAAATATCTGCAGGCACTTAACGACCTTGGCATGGAGCGTTTCCTGGGGATTCATGACCAGTTGGCATTAATGGTCCTTAGCCGCACCTCGGGCCATCAGCTCCTCCCAGCCCATCGTTAATCCCCAGGAAATGTCTCGGGCATCGATCCTTATTGCTTAATTAATAAATGCAACTTGTCTCCCCGCCTGAGATTTAGAGATAACTCACTGGTTCTTTCCCCGCTGCTTTGAAGGTGACTTTTTTTTAGCCGAGGTCCCTCACGCCAGGAGGCCCTCGTGGGTTTTTGTTTCCTGGCATTCACCTGGGTGTGGGCTATGGCAGCAGGAAAGTCTTTTCTCTCCTGGGTGGGCGGGAAGGAACTGAATTTGGGGTTTCTCCAGCTAATGTGGCACAGCACGAGGAGCACATCTTTCCCACCAAATGCAAAGGCTTGATGATCTTCAGCCGAGTGCATCCAAGAGCCTCGGTGAGGAGGAGCGTGAGCCGGTATGGAAGAACATGGTAATTCTCCAAGGCAGGTTCTATAATAATCGATGTTTTTTTGCCCGTGAGTCACAATTCATCTTTAATCTTCCTCGAGGGAGGTGGGATTTGCTATCTTTAGTGCTCGCGACTGCCGCTTTCCCGGGCTGAGCATCCCGCTGAGCCTGGACTCTTGCTGCAGGGATGCTGACCTGGCAGCTGATGGGGAGATGCGGCTGCGTTTAAATCCCATTCCCTGTTTCTCTAGCCTTTACCACCGGTTGGCTTTGTGCAGTGGGTGCCGCAGTATAAATCATGTTAATTCCTGAGGTGCTTTTCCGTGGTAAGTCTGAAACTCCCATTTTGGTTCGCTGGCTTGCCTGGCGAACTAAATTATTTTCATAGCCCCTTAAGGGCATACTGTCAGCCCAGACTTACTGCCGTTATACACCATATCTGAAACATTAATATCTCTTCTAAATATAGTGTATTGACAAGGTATCTGGTATAGTGTAAATCCTTGGGACATTTGATCCAGATCATTAAAACTGAGTGAAGGAAGGGAGGAATAGATCAAGTTACCTTGCCGCTCTTAATTCAAACAAGCAATGAATTATTCATTCCGCTATTAATTCTGCAGTCCTCCGGCTTTTTATTTATTTCTCTCTGTTTGATTATTTTTTTTCCTCCCAGATAGACAGCGTCAAAGGATGCCTGGGATGCTCGGGCAGCGGTGAGGGGAGATTTGCCTGCCGGAAGATGGGGTGCATGGGGGTGGGCTGCCTGGCAGCGCTGGCCGTGCTGTGCGGGGCTCTCCGGGATGC